GCGTCAGGGGCGCGGGGCACCCCGCCCCTCCTGCCTCTTCAGTCCCAGTGCCTGTGGTCTGCTGGGGACTGTCCCCAGCAGACCACAGGCACCGGGACTGAAGCGGCAACAGGAGCGGTTCCCCGCGCTTCTGAGGCTTTGCTCTGGCAAAGCCTCAGAAGCGCGGGAACCCGCCCGGTGCCCCTGGTCTGCTGGAGACGGTCTCCAGCAGACCAGGGGCACCAGAGCAGCTTACGAACGGGGCTCTCTCGCCCCGGAGCTCGCAGGTAGCAATCCGCTACCTCGACCTCCGGGGCAAGAAAGCCCCGTTCGTAAGTGCAGATCCGACATAAGTCGGATCCGCGTAAGTCGGGGACTGCCTGTATATTGCCCCAGCAACTGTACATTAGAGAATCTGGGGCCAGAGCAGCCACGAGAAAGGCCCAAGTACACAATCATGTGCCTAATGCCTGTGCCTTGGAGCCACCCATCTATGGGATGGACCAAGGTATGACTTGATGGTCTCCTGTAGGGTACAACTCAGGGGAAGGGAGAGTTTGAGCCTCAGACAGCCAGGGGAAGGGCTATGTAGAGTCTGATTCAGCTTCTGCCCTGAACTTTGGTTGTGCTCATGATTCCCCAGTAGCCAATTCAGATCCAGGGAGCAGGAAGCCTATATCTGATTTGTGAATTATTATATGCCCAGGTCCCTGTTTTTGTAATAGTGTTTATGTTAGGGTAGGGGGGAGAGCAAATTTTTCTCTTCCTACCTATTACACCCAAGTTTCTATTCAAACCCAAAATCATTATCTGGCTCCCAGCATACAGCCCTCCTCCCTACTTTCTAGCAATCCCTTCCCCCCCATAACTTCCCTTCTGCACTTAATGAAACTGAACAGCCGCACACACACCTCCACAAACATACTGGCTCCTGCTCTGCTCAGTTTTCTCCCCCTCTGCCTCCTTCCATCTACTTCACCATCCGGGTCCACTTCAATGGAGTGGCCTTCCTAATTCATCTCAGAAGGGTTCTCCTTGAAACCTGTAGCTGGCTGCCACCAAGTATGGCACTACTTTCTTGTTCATATTTAGATCCATCTGCTCATTCCTATTCCGAGTGTGGGTCTCTCTTCACTCGTGATAAATAGAACAGCTCTCTAGTGTCTGTCCTTTCCCCGTAAGTAATTTTATAAAGTATGGTCTTAATTATGAGTCATTTCTAGCTAATGTTGTAGCTACATAAAGTTAAAAATTTGTGGAAGTGTACAGAACAGGCTTTCCAAGACTCATGAACATTCAAATGCCTGCAATGTTTCTTAAAAACATTTTGCAATTTACTTTTGGTCTGAGAAATACCTATCTATTACCAGAGAATGGAAGTTATTCCATAGCCTTGGAAAAGAAATTTCATTCTCCATCAATGAATTATCATGCTGAATTCCAACAAACAATGAAATTAAAGACTTAGTCCACAAGAAGAGATACTACAAAAGTAAAAGAATAGGCACTAGTATCTTCTGGTTCTGCAAATAATTGGTTTCCATGAATAGTGACACATATTAAGAAGTTACCCTAGGAACAGTATTCTCAGGGACACTTATTTTTATCTCAAAAAAATTATTATTTTTTAATAATCTATTATTTACAAGTTCATTAAAAAGGAGATAAATTAGAAGTATTTTTTAAGGGGAAGGCAGAAGTATACACTGTCCCTTTTACAAATAAGGTGCACATTATGGGTTTTGAAGCACAAACTGTTTAAAGCACATGCTGACAAGTCAGTACCTGCCAGAAATCCTGATGAGAAGGGAGAGGGTTATAAAGAGGGAAGAAAATGAGGGATGTTTGGTTACACCAAAAAACAAAACTAAAATTAAAGAACCACAAATATTACATATTATGCCACACTGCAACACCAGCAAAACCAATTAATGACATCAGGAGCAAAGAATCTCCGACACCTAGGAACAGGAAGTAAGGAGCACATATAGCAATTGGTAACATTCAGGAATATCTGCCAAACAAACCCAGTGAAAATGAGCAACAAAGTTAGTAATACAAAAAAGTAAGAGCAAATATTTCTAGTTTGGTAGAAAGTAATTATGCCACAGACTGTTGGCGGATAGTGTGGGGAGAGGAAAGAGGGAGCACACACTTGACCCATACATGGATGCAAAATAATCTTCATAATAAGGTTTTTCACAAGATTTTGTGCCATGCATGCACAATTTAATATAAGAAACCAAGCATTTACTTATCCTAATAGATTTTTTTTAAAAAACAAAAACAAATAATTCCTGACTCTGAAGATTCCTACATTTCAATGAAAGAATATATCGTCCAAGTACATTATACTAGAATGTGAATTCATAGGTCAAGATACACAAAGGCCACATCAACTGGAAATCACACGACTCAACGATACAGCTAACAAGGCATTCAAGTTTGGCTTATTTCAAGATTGTGGTTATTAACATAGAACTTAAAGATTACTGAACTAAACATCTCCTCCAGGTAGAAATACTTTATAGTCAATTGTGTGTATAAAAGAGGGGTGGGCAATAATTTTTAATGGGGGGGAGACAGTTCAAGTTTTTGGCAAGTGGTCAAAAGCCACACTTATATGGAGGGGGTGTGGGGTCTGGGACAGAAGTTGGGTGCCTGAGAGGGAGTTTGGGTGAAGGAGGAGGCTGTGATCAAGAGCAGGGGTTTGGGGTGTACTGTTCAGGGAATAAGTGTGCAGCAGAGGACTCGGGTCAGCACAGGGGCTCTTGGAGAGGGTGCAAGGTCTAGGAGGAAGTTGTGATATGAATGAAGGGGGTGAAGAGGATTTGGGTGGTGACCTGGGGCAAGGGAATGGGGTGCAGGGTCAGGGAGGGGGTATGGGGGCAGGAGAGAATTCTGGCCTGGGGGAGGAATGTAAGAGGGGGGTGCAAAGTATATGAGGAAGCCGTGACCTGGGAGAAAGGGGAAAGGTTTGGGTGGAGGCCTTGGAGGCAAGAGAGGCGGTGGGTTGCCAGAAGCAGGCTCTGTCTGAGAGGCAGTTACCTAGGGGGATCCCAGCCAGCAGCTCTGCAGGAATCTGAAGCAGACTGTCTGCTACAGTCTGAGGCTGCAGGTTGCTCCATGTGGCTCCGCTGTGGCCATGGGAGGCAAGCTTCCAATTCTGCCCGTCCCCCTCCTAAATTTCTCAGCTACAGTTGGCTGGAACTGGCCAATGGGAGCTGAAAAATATTTCTGTGGGGAGTAGGGACAGAGTGTGAAGGCTCCCTCCTCCGCCATCCAGAGTGGAGAGCAGCTGGCTGTTTACAGCATGAGCAGTTCTCTGCTTAAGAGTTCTGGTGAAGGGGCCACAGGCTGCATCTGGCCCACTGTCTGCATCTTACCCACCGCTGGTATAAAAGCATCAGTCTTTGATACCTGACTCATAAGCATTTCAGGAGAAGGGTCTTGTCTTCTTAAATGTCTATATGGAACATGCACATCAAATATAAAGTACAGTAATTTTAATTGTAGAATAAAAGCATTTGGGGATTGGTTTGGTTTTGGAGGATAGAAGGGAATGAAAGGAAGGAAGGGGACAATGAAGAAACCTTGTGAACTCACAGTAGTATGACATTAATTACCATAAGGACAGAAAAGCACAGTGTAGAACAGAAATCTGTCACTGCCACTATTAGGGACTTTCCGACATATTAAATCAGTTTTCTAATCTTATCTGTCCCATCACAATAGGATTCCATTCATCTTGTTGTGTTCATGGACCCTTCTTGACCACAGGTGGCAGAACAAGATTTGCTGTTTCCACATGGTAGACCCCCAACCAGTTAGTGGAAGACCAGGAACACAACTCAGGTCTCATGATCCCCAGATCAGTGCACTATCCACTACAGCATGTGGCCTATCTACTCAGACATTTACATAGATCACCTCTACTCAAAAGTGTTTAGATGATTTAGGAATCTCATTTTCAAATGTGACTTTAAATGAGACTTAGGCTCCCATGTGCTTAAGTTACTTTAGAAAATAGGACTTAAAACTCCTAAGTCATTTAACCATTTTTGAAGATATGACCTGCTATATTTAAAGTTATTCATTCTACCACTTTATTACATTAGTCCTATTTAATCTGGGTGCCGGGACATGTGGCCTTAACGAGACAAAACTTAAAAAATAATAGTCATGCAGAATCTTACAGACTAATACAAAATGTAGATTGTATCATGAGCTTTCGTGGGCACAACTCACTTCTTCAGATGAATGGATTTAAGGGGACTAGTTTCCAAATAAACAGCAGAGAAAGAGAGTGGATGCGGGGGGAGGGCGGAGAGGTAAGAGGGGAGAGAAGGGAAAAGGGGAAAAAATATTGGACAAATCAAAATGAGCTATGCAAATTGCGTAGCTTATTTCGAAATTGGGAGCATCTACACAGCACTTATTTCAAAATAGAGCACTCTGACTTCCCTTACTCCTCATACAATGAGGGTTACAGAAGTTAGGGTAAGATGACCTCCAGCGTGACAGTATTTCAACATTGTTTCAAAAGAACTGCCTGCTGTGTAGACGTGGACTAAGTTTAGAAATAACAACACTTGTTATTTCAAAATAATGTTGCTGTATAGATGTACTCTGGGTGTCCTTGCTAAATGAAGCTGATAGAATGGGTACTAAGTGCTCCTAAGTACCCAGTGTTTGGTTTTGTGTATCATTAGGATGTGGAATGTAGCGGGTAATCTAGTTAAGTTCTTTGTTTAAACCTCTATTGTAGGTATAAAACTTGTAAATGAATTTAAGCTGTGCAGCTTCCCTTTCAAGCTGGTTTGTGAAATTGGTTTGTAATAATTTCGAAACTTTGAGCTCCATTAAGTGCTTGGGCAAGTTGAAATGTTCCCTGTCAGGTTTCTGTGAGTTAACTTTTTGAATATCTGATTTGTGTCCATTAATCCTTTCCTGTAGAGACCGTCCAGTTTGGCCAATATACATGGCACAGAGAGTTTCTTGGTGGTTCTTATGTCTTTTAGTTGTTGTGAAAGTCCTTATTTTATTCCTCCCACTCAGAAGTCCCCATTCAAGCACCAGGGCACTATACAACATTATAGAATCCAATATTAAAATGTTTAAAAAATGCAAACAATTACATTACAAGGACAGGATAGAAGGGCAAAATATGTAGCTAGTAGCAGTCACATCCCAAAACCCTTTACAAAATAAAGTTTGACTAAAAAAAGGTAGTGAAATTATCTGAGATTAATGCCCCTCACCACAGCAAAGGCATTACTGATTGCCAATATAGGGTGATAAAATGCACAGAGCCCTCTCCATATGATCTTATATCTCAGATATAACTAGGTGCCACATGCTAGGAGGTTGGACTTTATTATACATAATAGTAAATCCTATTGCTTCAAGATTTGCTCAAGTGATTTGCTCAATATATTCCTAAAGCTAATATTAGACGTCAGGTATTTCACCATGCAATTTATTTTATTATTTCTTCCTTGTAAAGCATCGAAGTACAGTACTTGAAATGAGTGCTTATAATAACTACAAGTAATTGTAATGTTTAATACCAAAAGCAACTTCCTTATCACATGAGAGTAATTAATTAAAGGGTGTCTTACTTCTATAGCATTGATGAACACAGAACTGTATCCGGAGAGTAGAAAGAACATGGAAATATGAAACTTGGTAGAAGTTACCTAATTCCAAAGTAAAATTGGCCTCTATAATTACTTATTGCCTCTTTGGGTCAATGGTAATTTAAGGGTATACCATCATTGATAGCTTGCAAGCTTTTATTTATATTCAACTACAAAGGATAATTTTCTCTACAGGAGGTAAAAAGCACTATTCAAGTGTATTCCATTCTAAAACAATATTCCATTTAATTCTTTCCCCTAAAATGACAAAACGTTTCTTGGAAGTGTTGCAATTTAGCCTTATCAGCGAAAACACTTGCTTCAAGCACAAAATCTACAGTAATAGAAATTAACGTGTTTCTTCAAAAATCATAATACTTGAGAGAAACAATCTAAAATACTACAATCCCTACATATTTGGAAAGAATGTCCACTGACACTACCACTCTTGTGCTAACTCCTCAAATTCGTTCCATCACAATAGGATTTCACTGATTCAGCTGTATTAATGGTCTTCCTTGCCCACAGGTGGTGAATTTGTCCTTGTCTCAGGATAGACATATCTTCAGCTTAACTATCACAGGCTGTGTCTAAACGACATCCCTTTTCTCGAAAAAGGGATGTAAATTAGACCCTTGGATATTGCAAATGAAGCCGATATTTAAATTTCCTGCACTTCGTTTGCATAAAGGCAGACACGTGTTTTTTTCGAAATGGGGTTTTTCAAAAGAAAAAACAGCCGTTTAGACCGGGGTCAATTGAAAATAAAACTCTGAAGTTTTTCCCTTAGTAGTACCAGTTGGGCCAGCAGGGGAGCCCCCTGCAGTGGCGCCACTATATCAGCTAAGATATACCCCTGCTGGCCCCCCGCCCCCTCAGTTCCTTCTTTCCACTCATGACAGTCATTGCAACAAGCTTTGTAAGCGTCTCTTAACAGTGAAGGATCGAGCCTGTTCTCAAAAAATACTAACTATCATCTGCCTTATCTGAAAGACACACAGGCCATGCTGAAGTCCCAGGGGATTCACATCCTGGACTCCCCAGTGGCACTTCCTCTCAGGCAGGAACACCCCCCAGCCTCCTCAGCAGGGTGTCCGCCGGATTTCTCTAGGTGGAGGGGAAGGAATGGGAACGGCAGGAACAACAGATGCCATTCCC